ACCTAGAGGGAGTAAAAGATCAGGGAGGGAACTGCAAGGAGGTCATTTCTTTCACCTCCCCACCTCTTATGGCTGCGCGCCTGACGAAGTTTTCTCGAGGGCTAAACCGTCACTTGCGAGGAAAATGACACACTAAGGGAAGAGAGAATTTCCTTGTGGATGGGGCGTTTTCACACGCGCTCGCGTATTTCAATCAGACAGCCACTCTACTTTCCTTTAGGGAAATATTAGGCAGTAATTTTTTATTTAGTTTACTACTCATACTACACCAGGTTACCTTCGTCGCTTACTGGTGATTGTTTAGATACCGGTCCCTATAAGCTACAGCACTCTAATATGACCCCCTAGTACGACTAGAAAAGCTTAAAATAGCTAGGTTCAAGCTGAACAAGGAGGAATTACTGGACAGTGTAAAAGTAATCCTGTCGGGCGATCTTCTTATTATTATTCTTTTTGTTTCGGAGAAGCACGAAATTCGAGAAAAGCAAAGGGAAAAAAGGAAGTAGCCTGTTCACAGACCCTCTATTTCCGTCAAGCGCGCGTCATAAAACATAAATCGCGAAAAGAACGAAAAGAAAAATAAAACAACGTCCGTGTACAGGCTGAAAGGAACCGCCCTATTCCCCCCTCCTCTTAACGAGAAAAAGGATGAAGGACCGCTTGATGGCAGGTTAAAGTAATCCCTGCAGCTTTCATACAAGGCTTTTGTCGAAAGTTACACAGTACAAGATACCTCGTCTAATTTTCACCAATTATGTATGACGTATATTCATATTGATGAATGCCACGTATGTTTACCCAAATGTGGCAATCACATCATCGCTCTACTTAAAGTCAAGCTTTTGCCGGGGATTTAGAAGTAGATTTTCGTATTCCTGGCGTGCCGAACTTAACGAGATGGGTTTCATTAAATACAGCTAAAAGTAATTTACCCATATCACAGAAAGATGTATCCATTAAGGCATCTATTATCTTTGTAATAACGCGTGTTTGTGCTCAAAAACGTTTTACACTTTAATTATGGTTTTTGAATTCCGTCTTACTTACAGATATTGGGGATTCATTTTTCGCACACCCTTCGCCACGCTTCCAAGCTCTTTAACATAGAAACTAAGTTTGATTGTAAGAATAACTCGCCGCAAAGGTTGCTTACCATAACGATCCGTACAAAGTACTACACAAATCAGCTGAACAGACGTAAAAGAGTGGAAAAATTACAATGCCCTGAAAGCATCCCAAACGAACTCCGCGAACCATTTGATTTTCCAAACGGGATTTCCGGTTTTTCGAAAAAAGTCGGTTATTCACACTATTGGTAAGAATTCAAGATCACCTATAGGCTTTTTAAAAATATACTTAGATACGAGTGTCATTTAATCAGATTTTTATGTTATGGTACTTTTCTTTAATTATAAAATCAAAACTTCACTAGATGTTAGTCAAAGAGCCGTTTCAAAAATAATTTATAGCTTGTATATTTCCAATAGTTGTTTCATAATTAACTACGGACAGTTAACTATCGGCTTGTAAGAAAGAAAGCATTAGAAGTCAAATTTCTTCAACCATGTACTTGGAATATGGGCTCCATCCTTGTATGGTGCCGTGATCCAGTTATTTGCGATCCACTTTTCTCCTTTCAGTATATCACATCCGCCATGCAAACTATATTCGTCTCTAGGCCCCAACCAGCCACTTTCTTCATCAAGCAAGTGGTTGTACCACATGATTGCAGTTCCCTTGCGTGGACTGACTACTAGATTGCCCTTGTGACAATTGTGACTAAGGTTGTAGTAGTCTAGCTTACCACGACTTGCGGTCATTTCCTAAAAAGGTAAAGTTTTTGCGTCATTAACCATTCATCAAGACTATGTTGTCCAGAAAACTGGGTGACAAATTTTAAAACAGATTCCCTGAACGTCTGGGATAAACTGCATTTCAATTATATAGCAAATGTTTGTAAATAGAAGGGCTTGGTTCAAGCTTCAGAAAAGACTTTTCGGGAAAATCCCCTGTAATCAGTTGTTAACTATCAAGCTGCTTTTTTTGTAGTCCAATTTCTGTAAGCTCTCTGTCTATCGAAATCACAAATATAAGATGCAAGTTTTCTTTGATCGTATCCAAGCGAATTTACTCACAATAACCCATAATAAGCACACATCATTTCAATCTACAGATACCTGAAAACAGGAGCCGATTAGTAGGAAAATTACTCGCTGCATTTTAAGTTGCCAATGCTCTCTAGTACTGAAAGGTAATATCACATTTTGTTGGATAGCTTAAATCAAGACCCATTGCAGGGAGGCCAACAAGTACAGCTGATTTATACCAACAACTTACTTACATGAATGTCTAAAGTGGCATTGTCCGCCATTGGGAAGGCTGTCTCGCCTCCTTCTTCAACGTCATTAAGATAATATAGTATTGTGATGTATCTGAAAAGATGAAAGCTGATTTATACCAACAACTTACTTACATGAATGTCTAAAGTGGCATTGTCCGCCATTGGGAAGGCTGTCTCGCCTCCTTCTTCAACGTCATTAAGATAATATAGTATTGTGATGTATCTGAAAAGATGAGTAACAGTTATACAGCTGATGATTGGGGACGCCTTTAAGGAAAGTTGCTTGGCAAAGGGCTATTGACTCACTC